CTGTGCTGATAAGACATATCCACGGTTCCACAATTCGAAAGTAATATTTGTTTCACGATCATCACTGACCTTTAATGATAGCACGCTGAAATTATCACAACAGCGGCTATCACACAGCGATAGAAAAAAATAGCTTTCCGTTTAAAGAAATAGAGACGATCATGAAATCTCCTCTACGCTTCCACTCGCGTAAAAAGAATTTACATCACATTATGTATGCAAGTTTTGTATATAACATTTTTTCACACTATTATAAATAACGGAAATATTCCAAGTGGACAAAGTTTTTGCACCACCCTGTATATTCCGTGAATATACCATCGTCAGCTGACGATTAAATCGTAATTCTCATTTGGTCTAATCCAGGCCATAAGTAAGATAACTAGGGAATTTGTGTAACATTTGTTCGCGCCTTTCAAGTCCAAAAGCTTTGTGAATTTACGACTTGCGAGAACTTCTGGTTAAAGGCGGTCGTCCATTTCTATATTTTCCTTTAACAATTTTTCATGTTCTTGTGAAAGTACTGTAAAATTGCTCCGAATCGCCATTTTTTTGACATTTTTACGTCGATATACGTTTCCAACAGAAAAATTTACTTTTTGCCGGACCCTATATTTACCACTTATCGTTCGCTGCTCTAACGGCGCAAGTTAATTTTCTAATTTATCAATACCATCTTACCAGTTTTACATTTCGTAGCACGTGTTCCAGTAATAAGTTGAAAGAACGATTAAAATTACACTGTTTTATCGACCAGGATTTATCCCGAGTAAGTACGAGCTTATTAGACAATCGCAAACGTATTCGTTAAAAGACGCCTCGTAATCGATCAATTTGACCGTAACATTAAAGTTTCGCGTGCATTGAAAAAACAATTTTGTCAGCCACTTGATGCATTTTCCATAATCTACGCCCTCCGTGGATCAGAATAAGTGTCTCGTTCAACGACACTTTCCTCGCCCTCGATTAAACTCGAGATTAAACCCACTTAAGCGTAGTCTCGCAAACGTGCATATACAGGGTGTCTTTTTAAACTGGACACGGTGAAATATCTCCGAAGGAACTGAAACTATCGAAAGAATGTTCCTACGAAAGTTGTTCGGTATGACGAAGGACATAATATGGTATGAATAATTTTTTCACGGATGAAATAGCGGTGGGATCAAGGTCAAGTATTTTTTTTTTTTTTAAACGCAACGCTATATTCTCTTGTTCTATTATAGCGTTTGTCGAGAAGAATCGAACGAGATGCCACATGAGGTAATTTCGTTTTGTGGAAAGTCGTAAAATTGTGGAGAATTTGTATTAGTATGTGGCCGAAGGCGCGTGTCACGTGTTGACCTCACTCTTCGATTTTTCATAAAACGAAATGGTATTTCGTGTGGCATATCGTTGAATTCGTCTCAGCAAACGCTATTATATTATGAAAAAAATTAATAAAAAATCAAGTATAGCGTTCCGTTTAAGAAAATAAACTTGATCTTGATCCCTCCCCTATTTCGAACAAGTTTTCGAACTTATCGAACAACTTTTACAAGAACATTTGTTTTGGCAGATTCAGTTCCTTCCGAGATACTCCACCGTGTCTAGTTAAAAAAGACACCCCGTATATACCTAACGAACGACTATACAGGTCCGTTTGACGGTATCACATTCGCTCGTTACGCGTCTGTAGTCTATATATAGGATAAAACACGCCTCACTTTCTACGAATATTCTCTGCCATTCGACATTTATTTAGAAGCGGGAAAAGAAAAACAAAACATTTTCTAATACTTTTCGGAAATGATGTTAATTTCCGTTGTAACAGCAGTCGGTATTGCAGTAGTGCAAAGTGCTTTATTATCGACATTTTTTAATTCGCAACAAATCTTCTTTATTATTAGACATTCTAATTAGACGAATAACGTAACTTGTTTAATCAATTTAGACAAGTAATGTTGAATAATTTTTTTGAAGCTGGTTCATGTATCGTTTCTTTGTAAGAAGTTGTATATACACTACCGGCCAAAAGTACGGAATCACCTATCAATTTTCAATACTCAATCTGTTACTAATTTTTTGTAGATTTGAAATTGACGTTGCGGAGATCAGTAGCAATTTGCCTCATTTCGACGGACTGGAATGCTTAAAATTCGTTAAAACATTCTTAAAATTGCGAACTCTTTTCTGAAAAGTTTTGCATAACTCACAATGCACAGTGATTCCGAACTTTTGACCGGTAGTGTATAATTCCGCAATATTTGACTTACGTTGCTCCATTGTAATATTTCGATACGAATCTTCGGAATATCTTTCTTTTCATAAAGGTGAACAACTGCTATTTCTAGGTGTTTCGAAAAATTGCTCTGCACGAACGACACGCGTATCCTATGTCCATCACAATGCGATCAAAATGTAAATGAGAAAACCAAAAAAAATCGAATTTTCCTCTTATTTTATGTTACGTCGATTTTTTATCCGAGTATTACGAAAGAATTTTTGCTAAGTAAATAATGCGAAGTGAAGTAAGTAACGACACGAGAGTGTAAAAAAAAGAAAAAGAACGCCGCTTTCGTAATCCCCGATACAAATCGGAAATATGATTAAAACACAGAAGCACGTTGTGGTTTTTGAACGGTCGAAGATATCGTTCGGCAAAGGTCGTTGAAAGCGATAAACGCGCGCACGTTACAGATCAAAGGGAATCGATAGCATTGTTAGAAAAAGTATAAATTTCAGCTGCTCTCAACTGTTCAAATAAAAGGTGAAATCGGCGTACGATGTGTTATTAAACGTTTCGAAAACTATGAAATATTGAACGTGTAATTGTTCAGTTTCTATTTCCTCGTAATGATTTCGTAAAAAAATGTTACGCGTATACACAGGAAATCAGTACAAGAATCAATTTTAACTCCTTGCCTTGTAGCAACGAGCTAGACTCGCGGCACGGATTCTGGTCGAAGTGCGACGAAAATGGTTATATTCGTGACAAAAATAAGATTTACTTCTAATTTTCGTTTTAACCCTCGTACGACGAATGCAGGATCATTTTGACTCAACAGCGATAAAGTCAGGCGGCTCAAATTAGGAGATACACCCTATTTTACGTATCAAATGTAAATAACCAAGAAAAATATCAAATACATATAGTTGAAAGTATGCGTATTTATGCACAATTCCTTCTTGAAACCCGGTGTACAATGGAAATTTTGCTATGGGCCAAAATGACCCTGCATTCGTCTCCCGCGTCCGTCTAAAACAGGGGTCGTGAACCTGCGGCTCTTAAATGTTTAATAAAAATCTGCTGTCGCCACCGCAGAACCGACAGTTGCCCCCCAAAAAATAACTACAGTGCGTCGGTAAAGTAAATGTTTCGACGCGATTCTGAAATTTGAAATTTAAACTTAAATTAAAATTGCGGCTCCCTAAATGTTATTTTTGTACGTTATTTTGTCGAAATGGCTCTTCGGCTCCGAAAGCTTCCCGACCCCTGGCCTAAAACCATTCGCCGTCCGAGGATCAATTTATAAGGCTGAGAATTACCAAATGTAATTAATCTATAATATATTATAAACAATTTCTCGCGGTCAGGTGTATTTGGATGATGCTAAAAACTGTGTGGTGCTCTTCATTTGTTCGAATTTCTTTCTCGTTAGTGAGGTTACCAATTCCGCGTATCAAGAGCGACACAACAGTGCGCGGTTTGACAAATAAACACATATTTTGCAAGATTATGCAAAGTATTTTGCAAAGTATGCTTCATCATTTTCACCGCTGGAACAACTGGAATCATTTGTCACGCATATGGGAAAATACTACGTCGACAAGAACGTGTTAGAATTGGTTTGAAAGGTTCAGAATTGGCGATTTGGATGTTAACGATAAATCGCGCTCCGGACGGTCTAAGACAATTGAAGACAAGGAATTGCAATCACTTCTGAATCACAATTAGAGCTTGGTGTGACTTAAGCGTTTTGTTTTTATGTCAGCAATGAAAATGTTTTCGTTAAAAATCGCGAGAATTTATTTAGACGCCTAATATGTTAGCTTTTCTAACCTGATTTAGTACTGGAACAGTGCACAGCTGACGCTTACATGCATAATCAGCGGAGAAAATCAGAAGTCAAGGGGTTCAGAACCGATTTGGGACCGATATAGAATCGATGATGTTCTGACAGCTAGTTGAACCGGAACCGACACAAGTGAGGACCTTTTTCGTCATAACAGTTATATTCGTCGTTTCAGTTCTCTATGTAACTGTTTTAGAAAGAACCTTTAAGTAACTGTTATCTCTGGAACTGTTTCAATAACTGGTTCAAATACTTTCGTGAGCATTGTGTCGCTGTGCGTGTTTGTTGTATTAAACAAAGAAACATATTTGCTTCTTTGCTTAAGAATTCTTTATTTATTAATGAAGTTTCAATATTCAAGCTTATTAAAAAACGAAGCTTTGTGCAATAAAAATGTTGCTTTATTTGTTTTTTTTTTTGGAGCAGAATTATTTCCATTCGGTGTAAAGATCTTGGTAATGTGAAGAAATCGAAGCTCAGCTTCGATGGTAACCACATGCCTTTTCCGAAGTAAAATTAATCAAATTACCGATACAAATTTCTGTACATCGATGTAAAGTAATCTTTGCACCAATAGAGTACCATTTCTCGAAACACGAAATGACTCATTGGCAACTTTCCAAAAAAGAAAAGAAAAACGGTGAATGTTCAATTCTGATAAGTATAATCATTTAACGTATCACGATAACTTTCCGACTTTATTTTCTGCATGTATCGATAAGAATCTGATGTTTCAATCACGTTTCAAAAAATTCACTTTTGGAAAATCGCTAATGGGTCACTTTTGACCCGCCGGGTCGTTCTAGAGTTAAAGAAATAATAGCTGAAAGTAACCATATTTACACGATTTAACGGAAAGTCCATTGCACAATTATTCTCCGTAGAAAATTATATAATTTGCTGTTATGCATAGTAATTAAGCTAGCGATGCGCGTGTCGTGTACTCACTTGATCGCATATGATGTCCCATTTTTTCTCGTTGTCGTATTGCTTCAAAAGCTTCGCTTTGTCCGGTGGCAAATCCATCGAAGCCTGGAACACAAAAACGATCGAGGTTCAACTTTAATGTCTTCATATCTGACAGAGAGAGACTCGTATAAACTTTTCTCCGTTCGTTCTTCCCCTTAGTTTAACTGTCCTAGCTAACTTTTCTCAACATCCGTGAAAAATTAGATAAAAACTAGTACACGTATACAGGAATATTCGAACAGTTGAACTATTCGAATAATTCGGATTATTCAAATATCAGTAGAATTCGGATTTCAATCTCGAATAGCTCAACTATTCGAATACCAGTAGTATTTGGACTTTAACTTTTTCGAATAGTTGAACTATTCGAATATTTCGTACATTTAGAATATATGAAAATTGCACATTATTTTCATATTTGCGAGTTTAAGACTTCTTAAGACTTCTATCTCTTAATATTTCCTACGTACTGGAGAATTATTTGAACAACGTCTTCAATAGGAGTATTAACGCTAACCGTACCGACACTTGTCCGGGCAAATGACCGGTTACGAAATAATCATATTTCTTCCGAAAGGAATGCAGGTGATTGTCAATTTAATGTAGGAAACAGACTTTAGATAATAATAAAAAAAAAACAAACAAACAAATTACATATTTTGATTTTTAAGAAAATACAGGAGAAAAACAGGTGCATGGTTTTAAATTGAAATTTTAAAACCGGTCACATTTGACCGAGGCCGTGGTACGGTTAGTGTTTAATTAATTAATTTTTTGAGAAAAAGACGTGTGATTTCTTTAAAAAAATGATGCAGCTGTCTTAGCTTCGAAGATTTGGTCTTAAAAACATAGATTGGTTTAAATCGTTCAAATTTTCCTTCGCTATTTCTCTTTGATTACAACCAAAGAGGAATTATAATTTGCTCCAGTTGCGCGATTCGCACAGTAGATTTATTTAACACAAATTTATTAGAAAATTCGCTGAAAAGTAGTTTACATTTTGCTAGAAAACAACATATCCAATCAACCACTAGACTGTGGTCTAAATAATGCATTTTACATGTTTTATGTTACAAACAGAGTTAAAATTAACTTACGAGTTACCTTGGACAATTGTAATCTTCCGATAAGAATTTCCAGTTATTTCTGGTTGGCAATAACTATTTTCTAGGGAGGACCAATCGTTTCAGCCAAATAACACAATTCCAACAGCAAACGCTTTGTTAATGAAAAACCTGTTTTACGGATAAAATTTTAGAATTTTTTTAAATTTTTATGTAAATTAAGAGTGAAAAAAATATATCCTCTAAGATTAACCATAATTTTGCAGACACTAATCTGCCAAAGAAATGTTTTGAGTAAAAATTAGTCAGCCTTTAACATATAGAGGTGTTAAAAATTTCCATCAAATTTTGTTTTCAATATTTTCTCATAAACCAAGTCTCGTATAAAGCGAAACATTCATTTTAACATACTCTCGCAAAACGAATCACCGATACTTGTTTACGTTAACATTAAATCTGAATTTTGTACAGTTTGTAAAAATTTCTAGTCTAAATTTGATTTATCACAGAAAAGAGAACAACTTTTTCACATAGTGAATAACTGAAATGAAAAAGAATCGTGAATCGTGCTGTTACTGTTACTATCAAACCGCGAGACAGACGTAAACAGCAGAAATAACATTGCGCCGATCGTACGGGAAAAGGATGAAAAACGAAGAAAGTTGACGTGAGTGTAATATATAGTCGCAATATGTACGTCATCGTGGCTAGCAACGAGCATAGTCGACGAATAATTATCAAAGAGCGGATGCGGAAGCCACGAGTGCATGACATCACCACTGGCGATACATGCATATTGCAGGCACGGTACTTTTGCTGAACGTTGGATCGTGTGATAGCGCAACGAATGCGTTCTGGGTATCAGAAATTACATAAATCGTACGTTGCACACAGCCAATTTCAAATGCAGCCTTCTAAGCTTGCCGAAACACGTAACCGAACAGTTATAAAATAACAATATCACACCGAGAGAGACGGAGATGTGAAACGACACCTTTGGGTCCTTACAGCGTTAATCCTTTCGCGACGAAGGACGTATACGGGGTGCATCTAAGTAACTGGACCGAGTTATAACTCGGTTGTTGTTGGAGATGGAAAAAAATTGCAGACGAACTGAACAACGTGACGAGAAGTGTAAAAAATTGTGTAGGAAAATGTTTAGAATGCAATGGTGGAACATTTACTGTAGATGCTGGGAAAAAGAGGCAAATATTTCGAAAAGTGTCGAGTTTTTCACGGTTGCACCCTAATACTTTTTTATTCAGAATAGCACGAGGAATTTGTGTCTGGGTGTATAGCTTTCATAAACAAATATTCAAGAAAATATTTTTTTATATATTATGTGAATAAATGGATTTTTTGTAAAATAGTTTATACCATCGAATTAGTCCTTAAAATATATTAATTTCATCAATGTACACAATAACTCTATCTCCGGTAGTTTCCGAGATATTCGTCGAATACTCGAGGGGTGGTTTTCACCCCTTTAACACGGACGATTGCCGATAAAAAAAAATACGTGTCAAATATTTTCATGAGAAGTGCATTATAATTAAATTTCATAAAAATCGGCGATTGACACTTCGACATGTTCCCTTGTAAGATCTAACGCCTCTTGACTCCTATTTATGGGGTCACGCAAAACAGTTGATTTATGAAAATATGATAGAAACAGAAGACAGCTTTGAGAATGTATTCAAAATGAATTTACTATTATAAATACGAATAGACGAATGGAAGCCTACATTCTTGCAGAAAGAAGAAATTTCGAACATTTGTTACAACTGCCACAACAATTGATCAACATCTATGAACATACACTACCGGCCAAAAGTTCGGAATCACCGAGCATTGCAATTTACCACTAAAATTTCCAGGAAACAGTCGAGCGACTTTGAGAATTTTTCATCGTTCGAATCAATTGATATGAGATAAATTGGTAAATGTAGAATTGAGATAAACTTGAAATCTATAAAAAATTAGCAGCAGATTTAATATTGATGAAAAGTGGGAGGTGATTCCAAACTTTTGGCCGGTAGTGTATAGTATAGGTTTGGCTCCGACCTTTTTGGACACACTATATACGCTTTCTAAAAATAGTCATTCATTTACGAAGAGCGTATATATTAGGTCATCACATAAATAATGGCGCCTTAGAAGCCCAATTTTAATACAAAAATAATAGTATTTACACATACTACTGACCATTGTTTGCGAGGACCTTTTGCCATATCTCATGCAACCTTTTAATCCTCTTTACAAAAAAATTCTTATCTTTTGGATTAAAAACCTGATCTAACGTTAACTTCAAGTGGTCCATATTTCCGAAATTTCTGCCATTTAAAACGTTTTTTAGTCAACGAAATAAACGGTAATCCAATGGTCAGGAGAATATGATTGTAAATGGAATATCGTTAGTCACAAGTCGTTGTTCTTTTATTTGGCACAAATCCAAAATGGAATACAGTGAATGGGCCCAAGTGCGGCGTCATCAATCGGTCTTGCAATTCGAGGATTTAATTTACGATCTTGACTATATCGTGGCTCGAAAATCAATGGTTTCAGAATATACGCATTCTACTACTTTTCACTTACAACACAATTTCTGCTGCTATTTTTAACAGACTAATTAAATTAAATTAAATTGTTGACACGATTCGTGAGGTAAGTGTATTTCGAAAAAAGTTGATCTAAATCGATAATCTTCAAATTAACAGATTTCTAATATTATGATTTTTTTGTACCTTGGTTAAAATGATAATTGATATCAGAACAAATGTAGATGAAATCTATTTGTAAAAAGGAAAGGGTTGGAGGTTCTGAAGATAAAATGAGAATTTCTTTCACGAATAATCCTAACTGTTCTTACAAATGTTGCATTATCTTGTTAGAATTTCACAGATCTACTGAAATATTTCGCTCGATTTATATCAATTGCTCCCACACAACGCACAAACGACACGTGTGTATCGTGTTTCAAAGGGAAGGTAGTAGTAAGAAGTTTTGTTACTGCAAAGTAAAGCAACGTCGTCAGACTTTCAGAAAGCCGAGTCGAAACTCGAGTTGCTCCAAATGATCAAAAACCGTAACTGTGCAAATATCGCCTTGCCTCCGGAAAATTATGGCTTTTCCTCACTCACTGCAATTAAGTTCTGTTGCAAAAGGATCACGATTTTCACGGAACTTCCATTGCGTTCCTGGGAATTGTAATTTATTCTGCCCACCGAAGGAGAACGTGCGTTTGCTTTCTCTGAGGAGCAAAGAACCATAGAGAGAATTATTATTTTAAGATCATTGCTGTTAACACGCTTTTTTTTTTCCTTCCGAATATGTAACAACGTAAAAGCAACTTTGAGATAAAATATTTTTTCATCGTTTCAAGTCTTTGACGCACACTTTAGAAATTTTTCTACTATTTATTGGACTGCGGTTAGAATGATCTACGGTGTAAAACGGACGCTCGAAAGTGTTAGTTATTTCCCGAAGTATTACATATTTCATTTTGATGAATTTTACAAGAAAGATATTGCAGTGTAGCACACGTGAAATTTGCACCTTGACACATTTCATGCGGTAAGAAATTAAGACATTTAATTAACGACTTTTCACAGATACGTTGACTTAAAAAGGTTAAGAAATAAGTACTCTGAAAAGAGACCGATTCGAAATACTGTCGGTTACAGAGGTAGACGAACTATTTCCCAAAAACAAGAACAAATAAAAACATACATTCAGTCAAGAAAGTCTCCATGCGCCTCGTTAGAATTTATTTAATATAATTTCAACATATACTATTAGCGCAAAGAAAAATAATTTACATTCATTTGTTAACGATTAAACAGATGAATATAAATATGAACTAGTTTGTTTCATTGTGGGAGAAATATTTTGAGTAACGTCTTATCTACTTGCTTGTAAACGAGAAACTACCTCGTACTTGGCCTTTGGCGCCTTGTTTCTAGACATTTTGCTGAATTCTTGGATACTGTATGGAAATTT